CTTTTGTAATTGCTATAATGCAATATATATTGTCCATGGATGGTTAGTTATGTTAATGGTTAGTTACGTTAATATATGATAGATAGTGGTTACAATTTATATATATTTAGATGCAGTTAGAATTAATTGTTGTACCACACATTTATCAATCGGTCATGATCCTAATTTAATAGTATTGATATATATATATATATATATAGAAGATAGACTAGAGCTTGATCCGCGTGTCTGTGTAGATATTAGTTTTTTACTCTTTTATAAATCAATATTTATTTTAATGATTATTGTTATATATTTCAGATGTGCAACCATATAAATAATTGTATATTGGTTATTTGAATATTGATGGGTTCCTATTAATACCTGAATGGAGTCTAATTTAAAATCCAAAAAATGATATTTGTAAGAAAAGATCTTTATCCGAACGGATACCTTAATATCCATGCCTAATTAATTTTATAAATAAATAAAAAAAAACTTATTTAATCGATTTTAATTTATGTTCTGAATAGAGAAATTTCCTTCAAATATGTCGAAATGTTATGTTTAACATATAAAATAAATTCTATCGAATTATTATGTTAAAAAACAATTGATGAAATAGTTAAGAAAATTGAAAGAAAAATGTGAAAACATAACACTTAAAATATGTAAGAAACCAATTAAAAATAGACAAATATTGTTTTAATAAAATAGATTTGTAAACCAATTGTAGTTTTACTGCATAAACGAATTTTTATGAGGTTTAAACTCTGAAATATTTTTTTTTGTAAACTTAAAGATTATGGGCCTAGAAAAGGCCCAAATAATCTCAATGATGTCGGCTGCCTTTAAAAGCCACGACGGAGACGAACTCGAGCCATGACGGTTCTGAGAGAAAGCTAGACAGACAAGAGAGAGTTTTTTCAAAAAAAAGCCAACAGAAGAGAAAGAGCAAGAACCCTAATCGACTACACGCGCTGATATCCACTGCTAATATCGAAAATGGCGAGTGAGAGTTCCCAGTCTTCTTCGCCGTCGCCAGGTGATACGTTCATAGGAAGCTTCATCAGTCTAATTTCCAAGTCCGAGATCCGCTACGAAGGCATTCTATACCATCTCAATGTTCGCGACTCTACGCTAGGTTTGAAGAAGGGTACGGACTCGAAAACCTATTGCGATTTTGACCTAGTTTAGGTTTTCGGAACGCAGATGATTTACATGTTCACGCTTGTGTATTTGAATCTGATTCTGTTCCTGTGAGTGATTTTGCTTTCTGGATTTGGTTTTTAGATTCAAGAAGACTGAACATTCGTTTATAAGTAGTTTCAGTTCAAATTTGTGTTGACATTTAGCTGAGAGTGTATATGCCAAACTTAGCCTGTGTTGCTATTCTAATGTGGCGTCCTTCCTTGCCTTGCTCTTGTGTTGAATGATATTTACTCTTATTGAATGATTTATTGCAGTAAGATCTTGTGGAACGGAGGGGAGGAAAAAAGATGGGCCTCAAGTTCCACCGTCTGATTCTGTTTACGATTACATTCTTTTCCGGGGAAGTGACATCAAGGTTAGTCGTCTTCATTCTCTTTCCTACTTATATATATATTTTGTGTTTGATGTATTTCGTAGCTGGTCCTTTTATGTTGGTATCTCTGATAAGTGATCATTATAAAACCCTTGAAGATTAGTTTGAATGACTTGTGATGATTTACTTGTTTGGTGTTTTCAGGATCTGCATGTTAACCCTTCTCCATCTGCACATTCAAGACAGAGCATTCAGAGTGAAAAGGACATCAATCAGGTAAAGAGAGATTCATGCTAAGCATGGACATTGAAAGCTGTCTGTTAAGATGATCACTTTGCGTTTTTTTTTCATAGTCTTATTCCATCTTCTTTGTTTAAAGTCCTCTGGTTCTAGGCCAGTTATGAGCTCTCCGTCTACTGGATATGATAGTGGTTATGGTTTGGGGAAAGGAGCACAATGGGTTCATACACCTGCTTTGACTAGTAAACCGGTTCTTACCACACAATATTCACCGGTCCTTCTAGGTGATGATGGAAGCTTGACAGAATCACCAGCAAGCGTTATTGATTCAACTAATACTTTCCAGGCACCTCAAAGTAATGCTGCTGGTCTGTCTATGCCGATGCCTTCTTTCGTGCAAGGAAACAAACTAGCTTCTGCTGGAGTTCCTCGTGGTATGATGCATCAGGCAGTTTCATCATCTTCTACCAAGCACAATGTTCAAGCACAGATTGTAGATATGTTTGCTTCACCGATTATGGGATTAGTAGATGATACAACCAAGGTTGTTACTCATACACCCGACGTTGCTTCTGATCTATCATACTCTTCTAACCCTTCTCCCCTTGGTCAAGCACAACACCATACTCCACCTGGCCTCGCTTCTTCAACCTCCACCCTTTCTCCACTTTCTGAAGCACAACTTTCTGCTCCGAATATTCAGAACAGTTACCCTGTTGCATCCCAGGCTGTTGGTAAAGGTGGCTATGACTCTCACATTAACCATCATAACCAGTCTATACCGTATAACTTACCAGCTGTGACTTCGGATTCAGCTCCTATAGTTCCTGGTCCTTTATCGAACTCGCCTCAGTCATTCTTTGGCATGGAGCCGTCACTGCAATCTCGGCAGCAGGTGGTCAATAGGGGTGAAGAGATGTTTGGTGCAACTAACCCGGTATCAATGGGTGTGCCATCTCGAAGTCTTGCTACTACGCATCAAGCGCCTTTGCTGCCTCTTCCTGTTTCAGCTCATCAGGTCCATTTTTAATTTTATTTCTTATGTTTTATCGTAATTATCACACGTATGCATGATTTCTCATGGTTATGATGAAATTTCTTCGTGATTGTATTAGTTCTTAGATTCGTGAACTCATATATCAAGCGCCATGAGTCCATGACTGTTTGATCTTTTGTGCAATACATGCTATAGTTTCTAATTTGGTTTGTTTCTTTTTATGGTTCTAAATGTGTTGCAGACTCGGATCCCTCGTTCAAGCAATGAGTTCACTGAAGAATTTGACTTTGAGGCAATGAATGACAAGTTCAATAAGAATGAAATATGGGGGTTTCTTGAAAAGAACAAAGAGGAGACTGCAGTTGAGCCAAGCGAAGAAGGGAAGGCAAAGGTATTCATTTCTATCTTTTATCAAAGTGTAATCAAGAACTGTTTCTCAAGCTTTTGGCGTTATCTGGATAATATGAAGCAATCAACGTTTTGTTTTACTTGTTGCAGCCTGCTTATAAAAAGGATGACTTTTTCGATTCAATCTCGTGCAATCAACTTGACCGTGTGGCAAGAAGCGGACAACAACAGCTACACATCCAGTTTCCCGATCACACGAGACAAGATTCTCAGGTTTGTTTAATCTTTTCTAGGTAGTTTTTCTTGCTCAAATTGCAATAGTGTTTAGTTTATGAACCTTTTTGTTCTCTTCATCGTCATTTCAGGGCTTTGGTAACAATTTTCAAAGACCACTCCAACCACAACCGGGTCAGGGTGCATATCTAGCTGCACAAACCAATAACCATGGCGGATATAATAACAACAACTACTCAAACTCGGGTTATGGTTACTACTCAGGTGGGAGAGGCCGAGGCAGAAACACACATTTCTAGGTCACTCTGGCACTTCCTTTTCTTACCTCTGTTCTTAAATTCAGTTTTTTTCGGATAGAGAAACAATTTTATGGTAATTGTATCTCAAGATTCGTAGGCATTATCATATTAGCAAGTTCATCTTTCGTTTTTTCTGTCGTGATGAGCTTTAGCCTCAGGAGAGAATGTTGGTGGTTCTTCTGTGTAGATAAGAAAAACAAAAAGTACTATTGAACCGTTTGGTATATGCAAGTGTCATTAGATATATATAACATATGCTTTCTATATGGTTTGTTATTTAAAATTTAATATGCAAATAAAACGTACGGTGAGCTTGTAACACTTACAAGTTAAGAATTTCTTTTTTATACAACGAATAGGTACATTAAGACATTTTATATCTATATAATTAGAAGATTCCTTAATTATCTATGAAGTTGTATAAAACTATGTACAATTATGTATGTTACGTGCAAAACTCAATTTTGCCTTCACACTAAGGGAAAAGAAAGATACCAAGACTTTCCCCACCAATGGGGTTAAGTACCTCATAATTATCCTCTCTCTCAAACTTCACCCACCAAAAAGACAAGGGCTTGTGTCCCAGCCCGGATGCTGTCTCAACAATCTCTAACCAAAACCCGAGTTCGAGAGCCACATAATAATGACCAGGTTCTCCTCTCGTCATAGTACAAGTCCTTTCATCTGGTGTTTAGCCATCATCTGTGCCATCATCTCTGTTGCTGTGATCATTGGTGGCATTGTAATCTTCGCTGGTTACATGGTCATTCATCCTCGAGTTCCCATTCTTAGCGTCCAGTATGCTCACCTCGACCTCTTTAAGTACGATTTCCTCCTACCACCAAGACTCTTTCCCCTTCTCTTGATCTTCAGTTTTGAATTGATAATTTTTTTATGGACCAGGTATGATATAGTTGGAGTCATGCAGACACAGATAACGATTGTGATAAAAGCAGAGAATGATAACGGTAAGGCTCATGCCTTGTTTGATGAAACCAATTTCAAGCTAAGCTATGAAGGTAGAACCATTGCGTATTTAAGACAGGCAGAGTTTGAAGTTGATAAACACAAATCCTTGTCTTCTCATTACGTGGTTCAGTCGTATCCAATTCCATTGAGCCCAACCATGATGCAAGCCACAGACTATGCGGTTAAACAAGATGTGATTACTTTCGAGCTCAAAGGTGGGTCAAAGGCTCGATGGCGAGTCGGGCCAATAGGATCGGTCAAGTTCGAATGTAACCTTAGCTGTGAGCTTAGGTTTAGACCCTCTGATCATAATTACATCCAACAATCTCTTTGCACTTCTGCTCATAAGCACTAGGGCTTCCGTAGTCTCATCTCTCATTTGCTTTTCTTTTTAACTTGGTTAGTTATATATTTTTATTTTTGGGGTTGAATTTTAATTGTTCTGTAATAATTGTAACAATTAATATATAATATTCATGATACTGTCAAATGAGGATATGAAAGAAAATCATGATATTCATTCATATCCTATTGTCAATTAATATATAACAATTACTTCGATATATATCACGAAGAAGCAATTTTTTATTCTAAAACAGAAAGTTGCTTTTGTTTTTGTTTGTTTTTTTTTCTGTTTTTGCGTGGAAAGCATAATCACTTGCTTATTAACCACTACTAAATAGTAACCGGCACTATGTGCGGAGTGAAATAGTTTATTAAGTTATTTATTTTATGTTCTACTAAGGGATTTGTTGTATAGTTTTCCTGAGGATGAGCATTCATATATTCATTCCAGATTCAATTTTTAGGGTTTAAGGTTTTGAATTTTTAGGGCTAGAAAATTTAAATCGTATTCAGATATTTATATAAAAAAATTGGATTTGGTTCGAATCATTACGGGTTTGATTTGGATTTGAGTTCGTACACCCATTAATTACGTATGTTAAAACAAAAATCAAAATATGCTTAATATTAAAATAAATTAATAACATAAAATTTGAATACTATAAGACAAAATATTTAAATTTAAATAAAAATTAGTTCAATTTAAATATTTGGATAGAAAATAAATAAATATTTTCATTATTTTGAATATTTTATGTTATTTTTAGATATTTAATTGTGGCTATTTTGAACCCCTTAGATATTTTCATATTTTAATATCTAATAGATATAAAATTTAGAATAATTAATATATTTAAATATATGATTATGATTTAAATATTTGTGATATACAAAATATTTTAGTTTGGATGAGATTTAGATTTGGTTATATGGATATTAAACTTTTAGATCCATCTGGGTACTTAATCAGTTTTATTTTGTGTTTAGTATTGCTTTGAAATCTAGTTGATGTCGGTTCTTTTGGATCCAAATGTTTTATCCAAACTTATTTTCTTCACTAATATAAAGCAAAATAAAATAAATATAAAAAATATTCTCGATTTATTTAACATACATAATTATCGGACTATATTTTAAAAGTACCAATAAAAATAGTTGATAATCATTTCAATATTTTTGGGAATATTAAAAAATAAACATTGTCTAAAACCAGTATCTTGTATTTTCTTATAAACCTTCCCGGTTGATATAATAAAAACTTTTATGTTTACTCAGCACCTGAATTGCGTAAAAAGTGTTAGAGTTGCGTGGAAAATAATGTGATATCTTTACTCAGCATCTGAATTCTGCTTTTCAATTGATTTCAAGAATTTTCTTTTGTTTTAAAACTTTTATGCTTTCTTATTTTTTCTTATAATCTGATTATGTTTCTAATTTTTGGTCTAGTATGAAAATTCTGTAAAACAAATATTTGGTTTAACTAAAGATCTGATTTTGCGTGCGATTTTTACCTCAATTCCTTAATTAATAAACAGTCACAATTATTTATTGTCTTCGTGGACAGAAACCTCAATCATGACTAAGTTCGGTAAGATAGGAAATATCAATTTCTAAAAATATTCTCATTCCTTTTAGTTGATGTAAATCTTAATCATTTTTAATTTCATTCTGTTAAAATGGTATTATTAAGTAGTTGTACTGAGAGAACTTTAATTCATTAATACAAAAGTTAAAAATATAAGAATTAAAAATGAGCTAATTAAAAAAAATTAGTGTGAACACATTAAATTGTATGTAGTAGAATTAAAAAAAATTAGAATGTGAACGTGTTTATTGTTAAATGATTGTGAAACCGACACATCATTATATTCAAATTGAAATCGATGTGAGATTGCCACGTGTTTAATATAATGTGAAAATATTAAATGATAATGTTTCTCTTTTAATATATAGAGGATTTGTATGTAATTAGAAGAGAAAAAAAGAAGAAACAGATCTTGTGGAAGCACCTTGAAGTCGTTGCTTTGAATACGCATCTCCTGATTAACTTATATCCAAGGCCGATCTCTAGTTCAAAACATTGGCTTGGGCGTCTAAAATTTATGTGGTTGATGTATAACTTGATTTTTAACCTTGCAAACTAACTAAATAGATGTACAGATTTGTAAAATTCATAAATTTCAAGACCGGCGTTGCTTAAAGCCTATGAAACTTTACTGTGCCTCCACTCCATCGACATACTTAAAGAAACAATATCTTGCAATAAAATAAAACAGTAGATTAACCATAATTCTTCCTAGAGGAACTGCCGACCATCAAAATAAAGCACAGCATTTTTCTCAGACAAGAGAACAATACTTGTGTTTTATATATATTCAGCCGTTTCTTCATTTCCTCGCAGAATCGTTTCCTTTTTTGTTGACATTTTGTTCTGAAATAGACGTTTATGACGACGAAATATCAATTTTCAATGCAATATGTGATTTTTCTTCTTGAGGAACAATTTCGATATAAATCTTGATACTGTCACGCAGTTTACTGATAAAAAAGAGAAAAAAAAAACCAAAGAGCTAAGAAACCAAACAAAACTGATCTTCAACTGAAAGGCAAAAGTTAAAGCCTTAGGACGAACCGAGTGAAATCTGCAGCATACCAAAGCCTCGGTTTAGACTTTAGAGAGAGACACTGCGCACTCCTTGTGGGAAACAGTAATGTATGGAATCAACTATTAACTAGAGCTGTGTATCTCATTGAGAAGTGTTGCTCAAATGGTTGTCCCGCGAGCAATTGCTCAGTCCCCTTTCTCCATAGTTCGTTAATGATGTTATTTATTTTTGTGCATATGTTTTAACTCTTAACCACTAAAAAACACATGCTTTGTCTTCATGCTTAGTCAAAAGGTTTTAGGTGCAACACATTCTGTGGAACAAGACAAAACAGGTTTTGAAGTTTCAGAGTTAAACTAAAGACTTACTTTGACAAAAAAACAAATCTAAAACCATGCAACCTCTATTACTCGGTTTTGATTTCCAAGTTCCAACCACTGATTATCTCGGTAAATCACCTGCAAAAACATACAATGAATCGTAGGAACATCAGCTTAGCGATGTCGACATGCGAGTGAATGTATGTGCAGGTAAATCTCACCATGCATGCGCTTTATAAAGTAGTCTAAATCTGCAAAGCAAGTAGATCCTTGAACCAAAGGAGAAGGTTGGCGGTAAGTGAAGAAGGAGAAGTGATTGCTATCAGGATGGTTTCTTGGTTTAGCCATTTCTATTAGTCTCATACAACCTTCTCTATCAAAACAAGTAATCGCATTCTCTCCCCCAATAAGAAGTCCTTTATCCCAAGCTGCATTAACCACCTGCCACAAACAACCAAACTTGGGTTAAAGAAGAAAAAACCGAGATCAATAAAAGTTGCCATTACCTGCCAACTCAAACCTTCTGGATCAGCTAGTGCTTCTTCATGCTCATTAGAAGACATTTGAGGCCCAGGGCACACAAACTTCACAGTCACTGAATATTTCTTCAGAGTTTCGAAAACAGGAGAGTACCCATCACGGTTTGAAGGATTATAGTATCCTGCAGTTAGTTCAGCTGCATGACTAGCTGTCTTGTACGACCAGTAAATCGCCGGTATCTGCATTATTTTGTTCTTCCATGAGTCTCAACTGTTATGGTCATTACTGGTTTTGAAGGAAAATTGCCAAAATGATTAACATACTTTGACAACAATCTTTGTTTCCTCAAACGCGAGATTTGCAAGAGACAGAACATTCTCTGCATGTCCTATCAGTAGTTGAGAGTACCAGTTCAAGAAGAAGCGACCGTAATAGCTGTCATATTCACCTCTTTCCTGGAAGAAACCAGTTTCATGAGGTTGTGAATTGTATTGACCAACATTCTCTGGTCCTTTACCCCAGAAAGCG